CGAAAGTTATTATCGATTTTTTTCTTTTTTAAGCAGTTAAATCTAAAACACACACACACCATTGGATATGCAATACATATCATATTACAAGTTTTATTTAAACATGAAATATTTTCTCAATTGAAATTTTTATTTAAATAAAGGTTTGTTTAATTTGTTAAATTTTAATATCTATTAGTCTAGAAATTTGCGAAGTATCAAATTTCATTGTAAAAGAGATGCATGAATGATATCATTTAAATATCATCAATGGACAAAATTCTTGAATATTTTTTGAATAATTTAAAAAAAAATGCATTGATGAAATTTTAATAATTAAATTCTTATGCAAATTTATCTAATAAATATTACTGTATTGTTTAATCATTCATCTACATCATATTTCCAATGAATTTTCCTTTTTTTTCCCTCATAATCAAAAAAAAAAAAAAAAAAAAAAAACGACGAATCAGTTTCGCGATATAATTTTCCTCATTTATTTTTCATTTGATTCAGTTGATTATTGCTATTATCATTGGTTGACCTTTGACATTAATAATATGTAATATATTGGTTCATTTTAAGGATTGTACTTTTAAGGATACATTAAGGATACAAGGATACATTTTGCGAAAACATTTGCATCAGAAAATTAGCATAAATTATAAATTTTAATTAATTTTAAAAATTTTTTTACAACTGAATATTTCATTGTCAGTTATAATTTAATTGAAATTGAATACAGAAAATAAATCGATAATTATTAAATATCACACATATGTGAATGAATGGATGTTTTTCTTTTTCTTTTTATAAAATTTATAATCTTCTTACGTTTCTTCTCCCTCCTTCCTTCCTTTCCTTTTTTTTTAATTGAAAATTCAATCAATTCTTTTAATGAAATTGATTGAAATTTAAAATTCTTTCTAATTTAAATGATTTGAAATTATTTATTATAGTTTTGTTTATGTTTCTCCATCGTTCTATAAAACTTTCAATTTATATAACTTTTTAAACATTCACATTTACCTTCTTAAGTGACAATTAAATATTGCAGAAAATGCAAATTTCACATCTCACTTAGATATTCATTATTTACATTTATAAATTACATGATATTAATTCAATTAATTTACGCATGCAACTGCATGCATGAAAAAAGATGCAACTGCATGCATAAAAAAAAATGTCAATGCAATTTTTGCAATCTCTTATTGTAAATTATATTTTTTTTAAAAAAAGATATGACACAATCTTGTAATATTTTCTCTCTCAGTTAGTTTTAAAAATTGCTTCATATGTGAAATTACGTTTTATTTGGTGAAGAATATTAAATCACGCAGCGTACGTGAAGTGATTTTCTCGGAAAGCAATTACGATAACATTTGATATTGTGTGATGAAAATATCAGTAGTACAATCGTTATCTTTTCGTTCAAAATTGCTGGTTAACAAAAAATATATGACATTATCAATGATAATCCAATTAATTCAAAATTTCATTTAAATTACTTACTTAAAACTTGTTTTCTCTCAATTAAATTTACAAATTGTTGTCATTAAGTATCAATCACAAACAAATTTACAATTCCGCCTGAAATCATTAATTAATTCCATTTATAAATTCTTTTTACCTTTAAAGTTTATTTCAAGAATTATTTATTTAATGCTGTATTGAATTCCGGATGTAAACTGACTAAACTGATCGTTGTTTGTTTTTTTCTTTCATTTTTTTAAAATTCTTTTGTTTTAATTAATTGAAATTAATTTTTAGATTGTTAACTTTTCTAATTCAGAATGATCACTACATTGCTATTTCCGGATTGTGCATGATGAAATCGAAATCAATCCGGAAAATAGATAAATTAATAGCATTTAAATGAGATAACAAACAGTTTTCGTATACATTTTGCAAAAAATGAAAAAAGAAAAATTGAAAGTAAAAATGAAGCGACAAAAGCGCACATTCAAAATTAATGAATTACTTAACTGATGATAGTTTAATTATCATTTAATGTCTTTTTTTTTTTTTAAATTTTATTGACATACTTTTTAATAATATAATGCGAATAATATCTCTTTTTTCTCTCTCTCTCTTTTCCTCTCTCTCCCTTCTTCTCTTTCTGTTTGTCCCTATCTATTTAATAGAGAAATTTTTCAATTTCTTATTTTCTTTAATATGAACCATAAAATTTATTGTTTTAGTTTTTTTTTTGATTTTTGTATTTCAAATTTTATTTAGTTGTAATTCAAATTATTTTCAATCTTAGTTTGCTAAAATTTTTCATTTTTTTGTATGTTTTTCTTTTTTTTTTTTTAATATGAATTACTATTTGTATTACAGAAAGAAGACCCCGCCTATTAATTAATTATTAATTTTTGCATTGAATATTTTGAAGTTTAATAATATGGAATACTTATAATAAAATAAATATTCAAATTTGCATCAATTTACTATGAGTTATTACAACATAGGAGTAATTAATTGTGCAGCAATAGTAATATTCAATTCAATTAATTAGTACATAATTTATAGTAATATGATAATACTCAATTATTAATAACATTGATAGCACTGGAAAAAACTATGAAAATACACCATATTAGATTTAATTAGTACAATTTCTGAGAAACAAAATAATTGCTAATTGAATAAAGCTTACTTTAAAATAATTTCATGTACTACCTTTTAATAAATAGAATGCTTTAATTAAGCTAATTATAATAATCTTAATTGTAACATAATATAATACAGCATAAAAATATTTGGATAAATGCTCACGGAGTAAAAGTTTTGAGTAATTATTGTGAATTAACATATTATATTCATTGTCTAAAATATAATTAATGATGATTACTAATTATTTGTACGAAAGAAATCGATAAAAATGAAAACTACCAAAAGAATATGTTTATGAAATTTTTGTTGTAATAAATAATTAGTGATATTATTGCAAATATCTTATATAATTAATATTTAATATTGTTATTGCAAAACATTTCGAATATTTAATACTATTATTTTAAATAATTTTGGCATTTGACAAATTAATGTCAAAATGTATATTCCAGTTTTTTACAAGTCTATTATATAAGTATTAATTTGTGGTGCAATATTTTAATATTTAACATTAATATATAAATTATTTCCGTGATACTTAAGCTTCATTTCGTAAAATTTAATACTTAAATTATCCTAAATTTTCTTTTCAAATTTCAATACTTAAATTATCTTTTCAAATTATTCGTCATATAAGTCCGTTAACAGTTAATATTTAAGCAAGTGAAAATTTTAGGAATTTGATAATTTAAAAATTTTACAAATTTGAATCTAATTTTTGGGGTAAGATTGTTCTCGCCTAAAATTAAACAATGAACTTTTGTCACTTTATTTTTTTTGATTACTATTTAAACTAGTCATTAAGAAATTTAAATTTTTCTTTTTTCTGACAACTATTTTTAATTTAACTTTTTTTTTTTTCGTTGTAATAAATATCATTTAAGCATAACACTCATTGTAATATACATTAGATAAAGTTCGTAGATCACGATGACAAACCATTTATAAATCAAATAAAATGGTGAAGCGAATTTGTTTATATCATTCAAATTATTTCATCAATAAAAAAAAAAAACTTCTTAAAAAATTTCAATCCATTTTGAAGTATGCAATATGTAACATATGTGGCTTTTTTTTTTTTAAATTGAGTAATTAAAATTTACATATAACCAAATGTTTAACTAAATTTATTGATAATTTTACCAAAAGAAAAAAAAATATTTCGTTAATTTTTTTAAATAAAATTTTAAAAAAATTTCGTAAAATTTTTTTCTTTCATTGAAAAAAAAAGGGTATAAAATGAAGAAACTGCCCAATAATTGATAAAAAAAAATAAATAAATGAACAAAAGAAATTGAAAACAAAATTTTTCTTTTTCTTTATTCATTTTTATTACATTTCAAAAAAAAAAAAAGGAAAAGAAAAGTGGTACGAAAAATCGGAAATTGAACGATTCATTTGAAGGATTGAGATAGTGAAAGAGTGCACAAAATTGATTTCATTTAAATTTGTTGAATAATTTAAAAGGCATCAGCTTATCGATTTATAAACATATACATTATATGTATAATCAATTTCTCGACCTTGTCCTAGGCTAAGGACTGATTGCAATGTTATTATTAGTGAGACTAGTGCAAATGAAGTGTTTACCCGAGACCTGAATAGGGACTATAATGGATGATGATTGATGATGATGATGATGATGATGATGATGATGATGATGATGATGATGATGATGATGACAATGATAATAGTGATAATGTATAATGGATGATGATGATGATGATGATGATGATGATGATGATGATGATGATGATGATGATGATGATGATGATAATGGTGATAATGGTGATAATGTTGGTTATGATGGTGGTATTGGTATATTATCAATGCATTAACTTTTCCCTTTCTATATGATAATTTATCATCATATCCTTTTCTTCTTTCTTTTTTAAATTTAGTAAAATTTTAAAAACAAAAATGATTTTTTTTTAAAAAAAAAATATAATTTGATACAAATGGAAAGAAAAGAAAAAATTATTTTTAAATTTGTATCAAATCATATTTTAATCTCTTTTAGCCAGTTATAAATTAATTAATTTTTTTTTTATCCAATTAAAAAATACATTCGTAATTATCCTTATGCCCATTATAATCCAGTAATTAATTGTCCTGTATTCCATTACAATTTAATTATTTGTCATTTTTTTGCTTACTTTTTTTTTAAAAGCATATAGCTTGTTTTTTTGTTTTGTTTCTTTTGTACATGCAACAATCATTTATAATTGAAAATATTTACATTCATCTTCAGCAAATAATCTTATTGTCTTGTTCTTTTTTTTTTTTTTTTTAAATATCTAATTGTAAATTTATTTTTCTTTTCATTTATAAATATTGCAAAAATTCTTCGTTTAAATTCTTGGAAAATTAAAATTACCTGAGAGAAATGAGTAAATGTCGCATTTTCTTCAATTGATTATTCAATTCACAAATGGGAATTCATGCAGGATAATCATAGACAATCCATTAGTTTAATTACAGACGAGCAGTAGAAGATAATAGAACAAAAAAAGCTCGAAAAATGACTACATTTAAATAGGCTAATTAACGACATTGATTAATTAAATGACATTGAGTTACGAAGGATATTTGTTGAAATTTAAGATGACAATCTAAATTTTTCATATAAAATTGATTACCCTAATTTAATGATGATAATTTAGGTTGTAATACTAGTGTAAATAGAGAAAAGTTTCTGTGGTAAACAAAAAATTGTCATGCAAAGATTTGGATTTGAATTATTAAAAGTTGAACTGTCAAATATAGTATTCAATTATTTGCGAGTTAAAAATTCATTGGAAACAATTCTATATTTGTAAACATAAAATGCACAATTTTTCTTTTTTTTTTTTGCTTTAAATATTGATAAAATGCTTAATTTTATGTCTTTTTTTTTTGCTTAAGTTGTGATAAATGATAAAAGATCAAAGGTTATTCTTATCAAAAAAAAAAAATCATTATCCTTCCTTATTACACAAATATTATCATTTGATAACAGATTTAATCTTGATTTCATTTCTAACAACAAATAAATTCTCTAATCATTTATATGATAGTTAAGTTAAAAATGTAATTTACTTAATCACATTAATTTCAACATTATCCATGATTAATGAAACATTTAAAATATACTTTCCTTT